TCTATCGTAAAGTCTGCTCATGTTTCTACCGTTACCAACGGTTATAATTGCTGGATTCCCTCCGAAGAAATTCCATCAATTATACAAATAGTAAAAATGACATTGATTCGAAGAACTGATTTTAAACCTCGACAGTTTTCGGAACAGAACAGTCCGGAATACTGTAGGTTATGAGTCATTCCTTATTCCGACGGAGAGATCACTCTGACTACAATTTTGGCAAGTGTTCGGGACGCAGGAGATGAGAATATAACTTTTTCGGGAGCACTTACGACAGACGGCAAAGCAGCAGACAGAAAGCACGATAGCCTACATATATCTAACACCAGACTGCTACAGGAACCGTGACCCTCATGAATTTAATCAATGGAAACTGCCGCTTAGTGGAGTATCGAGAACACTGGGTGAATACGAGAGGAAGAACTGGTAGTAAACAACAATGAAAGAATGAACTGTTTCAGATCAAAACAGAATCATGAAATATACAGCAATCGATATATTTGTTCAAACGCAACAAATATAAAATCAAAATTTTCGAAAAATCACTCCGCTTTCATAGCTAAATAACTTTTACCACTACCTTAATGGGCAGCTCAAAGAGAGAACATTAATGTTTATATATTGCATTTAAGCATATCAATAAGAATGAAGTATGAACCTACAATGTCCGAAAAATGTTTCATGAAACTACTGGTTAAAAATACCTAGGATGTTGTAACCATTGGAGATCAGCAGATCCAAGTTACGATGTGATGATTTGAGGCTGTCGTTGACGTTCAGTTCAGCGCTGTCCAAATAGACAGTCGTGCTTTCGTTTGCTTTATAAGGCCTGCTCAAAAGATCCGCACGCTCTTTCTCCGCTAACCACTGTCGTTGCAGCTTGTACTGGATTTGCGACAATGACTTCTGAAACAAAACACCAGTGGCAAAATTCCATCTGCTACAACTTTACGTACCCTGACGAACGTACAGTCATAGCGCAGCTGATCTGTAGCTAGTTTAAAATGCTTTCGCTTTGGAGCCGGCTCCTTCATTGCGAGGGTGTCAAGTGTATCACAGTTGGACAATATCTGCAATTCGAAATACTTACAAACGAAATATCGTGGTATAACACAGCACCTGCTCTAGCAAACAATGCACCCTCTGGGACAACCGATCTGCTACATCTGAATCCTTCGACACTTCAAGCATCGATAAAGATCTGTTCACATCTTCTAGCATATTATTCGATTCCAAATACAGTCTATCCATTACAATAATCGCAAATTTTCAGAGGGAAGTGGCAGCAACACGCCTAATCCAGTGGTACGGTAATGTGATACAGTAATTATAGTTTTCAAGTAACTTACAATCCTCTGATCAATTATTCTAAATCCCGTTATTTTGCTATATGACCTGTGCTAATCCTTCAGCCAATCAATTTTGAGAAACTTCACCCACAATTTGTAGTCGTATGTTCTTTAAAAAAATAACTACACTGCTGCGGTTCAATGGCCGTCAACACAAAGTTCTGCAAAGACAGTCGTCGTAATGCGCTTGGTGGCGCAAAGTGGACTTCCTTGAATGAAAATAGGTCATTTCGCACAATGGAGCGGATTAACTTAGATGTTTTAAGTTCTCCTCGCAATATGTTTGCACTTTTTCAGTATTTACATATTAATGCTTCATTCATTCAAAATATGTTTCATTTATTCGGTTGGCCATCGTTGTCTTTTTGCGTACCATTGTCACTTTATGGCATGATATGTCGGTTTCCTACAAATTGTCGGCGCTGCGGCGCACCAGTGGCGTTCAGACAACGTGGATGGCATAAAGTAGAGGGAGC